AAGTAACACATGTAAACTAAATAAAGCACGTTAGGCAAGGCCTAGCTAGTTGAAAAAAAAAAAAAAAAAAAAAAAAATTTAATTTTATTTTTTTTAATATTGAATAGATATTTATAATTACCTGATATTATCTGACAAAGTATATTGTTTTAAAATTTCTTTCAATATCATTCACATGATTACTGTAGGCAAGCTAGCATTTAACTCATTGCATTAGTACATGAAAGATGTTTTTTTCACTATGTATATCATATTATATATACAAATTAAATAAAGAAATAATATTTACCTAAAAAAAAAAACATGTGACAATTGCATATTTATTACGTATCACATGTACAATTGCACAGAATATAATTTCTTCCTCAACTTAATCATTTAAAGAAACAAAAAGTTTGTTGTATGATTTTTATAGACTTATAATCACTTGCATTTTTCAGTCCAATATTGGTATATCATTAAGTTCGTAGTGGAAAAATGGGTAACCAAAATATGTTCTGAGTCATTTATAAGATTAATTAACACGCTTGATAACTTTTTCTCTTTTATCAAACCATGTATTAGACAGACTATTTATTATTGCTTTTATCAAGTGCAGTCAACAAATATGTCGATTCTTGGAGTATAAGGACCTTACTGCCCTCTGTTGTGTCAATAAAACGATCAATGAATTCTTGAGTAATCCCAAGAGTTCTAATGATATTTGGTGCAGTGCTCGGCATAAATTCAGTACGATACTATATACAGATCCACCTGAAGGAATGTCAGAACGTGAATTCGCAAAACTTTTTAGTTCTGCCGACAAGTGTCAATGTTGCGGTAGAACGGATAAACGAGTGAGAATTTATTGGATCCCTCGAGTGAGATCATGCGTCCAGTGTTTGGAAGACAACGCCATCAGGTAACATATGTAAAGATTGTTTGCAAAAATTAATGCGGAAATTCATTTTAAACCTTTATCTAGTATTGATGATATCGAATATTGGAAGATCGACCCAAAAGTTTTAAAGGTTGCACCTTGCGTGTCTAACGAACATGAATTTGAAGATGGAAAAGCTTATTATTGGGTTCCTCATCTTCTCTATTTATCACAACAATTCCATATGTGCAATGAAGCGTCTATAAGTAGATGGATCGAAGATAAGAAGAAGTTATTACATAGACTAATAAAAGACGCACTTGAACGGCACCGTATGCTATCTAAAACGACATTCTCCATATTCTACCGAGAGGAAAGAGTAGAGAATGTGGATGACTTTAACGGTATAGACCCTTTGTCTATAAAAACGTATGATCGAGTTAATTTGGGGGTGCCATCATTAAAGAAAGTAGTTGAACCTACTGAAGATTACTTTGAACTACAATCCTCTGGAGAATCAGAAACAACGAATGATCAGGTTGCTGAAATGAAAGCAGATGAAATGATGAAGTTAGAATTTGGGCATAAACCAAAGCAGAAAAAGAAAAGGAGCAGAAATAAAAAGTTGAAAATTCAAGAAAAAAATAAGATCAATTCCTCTGAAAAGAAAAAACAAAATAAAGCAGGTGGTAATATTCAAGAAGAGCCAATAGCTAAAAGAACAAGATCTCAGAGAAAGAAAAAGGCTGAATCGAAACGGAATAAAAAAAAATCCAAAAAACATGCACCTACTGCTTCAAACGAGTCCATAAATCCAAATCCAAACCTTACAGGAGGACCTGGATTATTATTCAACAATGTTGGATCATCTTTGTTTCCTTTTCAAGTTGACAATATTTCTGGTCTAGCAATATTTCCGCAAGGAAGCATAAATATTCTCAAGTCCAAGCGTAGAGAAATATTGATTGGTTTGCGCCAATATACCTTGACAAGCAACACCTCACAAGGAACATATGGAATTAGAACTGACGAGCCAATTTACGAATTTCTCCCAATGTGTCATACATTCAAAGTTCCTCCACCCGAAAACAATTTATGGTTGCCTTACTCTCCACCATTTTTGATTAATGTGATTCAAATGATTCGTTACGAAGCTATGACCATGTCTCAGATGTTCTTTCCGTACCAGCGACCAGGGAATGTTTTTACACTGGCCGGAGCTATTGCACATCGATTTAATAGATATCCAGTTTTCCAATGCAAGATTTGCAAACTTTCACAGGTTGACTTGATTCAAAAAGTGAAAAACCATGTTGCAGTGATTCACCAAGTTTACGAGGAGTTACCATCAAATGCAATAGAAGTGAATGAATTAAAGTTGATCGATTATTTAGTTGAAGGTTTTGACATTTGAAAGCGTGATATGGTCTGAACCATTCGTTCAAGGTTCGACAAAGGGGGATGGTAAATTACCGTATTCAAGAAATTACGCTTTAACAATATCAATGAATGGCTACTGAGCCAATAAAAAGCTTAATCTGTTTTTGCGCGATCACATAATTTTTTATTTATAGCGTTACTTCTTTTGCATTATTATTGCCAACCTTTCTCGCGCCTTTTATGCGTCTTATTCCTTTTTAGATAGGCAATGCGATTCTCCGATAAGTCCCTTCTTTTTTTCAAGGATTTCGGGCTTATCAAAGTAGAGACTGAGCATAAATGAAAATTTTCCAGTGTTAGCGTGTTAGTTGTACACTTCAAACATTGTAGCGAATTGATTTCGTTTGCATTGCGCATGTAAAGAAAAAAAATAAAAATCAATGTTATACGCACCATTGTAATTACTTTCCTGTTTTACTTCCTTCTCCGTTTCTACTTGATGACACAAGCCATTATCTACCGATAAATGTGCAGGGATGACAGATGGTGTAATGTCTATTACAGCGACTGGCGTCTTTTGCTTTTTGTTTTTTTTATTCATTTTGAACGTGACGCGAGATTGGTTCTTTAATTCCGTTATTTTATGCTCTTGATAAAGGATTTGCGGTGGCAACAATCCGCGAGGATAATCTAGATGACCTTGCGCGGTGAAATTAAAACCAAGGGGAGGATTTGTAGAACAGATGGCTCCTTGTTCGGCGTGATCACTTCTGAAATCCGAGCATGGCCTTCGAGAGAGTTCTGGTGGATCCTTACTATGAGGATGACCTAATGGAACCAACGAACGCTCCGTAGCAAAAGTTGATGTTCGAATTGGAAGAGGATTTGCTTCACAAAAAGCTTGGAAGTTAGAATATGAGTACTTTTGATCTTTGGTTCGAAAAGATGCTTCCGTCATTTTTTTTTACTATTTTACGGTCTGAAGAAATCTTTGAGATAACCTTGTAATGTATTCTTTCTCATGATGACAAGATATTCGGTAAATTAACAAATTTCAATAAAACATTCTTGAAATTTTCAAAGTTTTCATTAAAGAGTAACAACGGTTTTTCAAGAAAATCCGAAAATACGAAAATATTATTGATTACCTTATCAAGCTACTACTAGCTAATGTTAATTCTGTGTAACTATGGAAAATAAATATAAATCTTGGTTGGAAAGATAATTGTGAACTTCAATAAAGAGAATTACGCGATCAGATTATATTACACAATGGATTACAATTCTCAAAGTAAAGAAGATTTCATGTACTCCTTTTGTTTAACCAAGGATTTGGAT